GTGGTGTTGGTTCTTATTTCTCCCCTATTTTTTGTGATTTTATTTATTTGGCTCCTTTCTCTTTTCTTTTTGATAAGTCTGGATAGAATTTTATCAATTTTATTAATTTTTTTCAATGAACCAGTTCCTGGTTTCATTGATCTGTCTTATTGTTTTCGTTTTTGTTTTGTTTGTTTCTATATCATTTATTTCTGCTCTAATATTTATTATTTTCATTCTGCTGACTTTAGGCTTCATTTCTTATTCTTTCTGTAACTCCTCTAGATGTAACATTAGGTTGTTTGAGATTTTTCTTGCTTTTTGAGACAGGCCTCTACTGCTATATATTTCCCCTTTAGGCCCAGTTTTGCTGCATCACAAAGTTTTTGGAGAATTGTGGTTTCATTTCCATTTGTTCCCATGTATTTTTTAAAATTTCTTCTTTGATATCCTGGTGACCCATTCATTCTTTAGTAGCATGTTGTTTAACCTCCATGTATTTGTGACCTTTTCAATTTTTTTCTTGTGGTTGACTTCAAGTATCATAGAACTGTGATCCACAAATATGTATGGTATTGTATCAATCTTTTTCTACAGTTTGAGGCCTGATTTGTGTTCTAGTGCATGGTCTATTCTGGAGAATGTCCCATGTGCACTTGAAAAGAATGTGTATTTTGCTGTTTTAGGATGAAATGTTCTGAATATAAGTCCATCTGGTCCAGTATGTCATTCAAAGCCATTGTTTCCCTGTTGATTTTCTGCTTAGATGGTCTGTCCATTGCTATAAGTGGGGTGTTAAAGTCCCCTACTATTATTGTATTATTATCAATGCATTCCTTCATGTTTGTTATTGTTTAATATATTTGGGTGCACCCAAATTGGAGGCGTAAATATTTACAATTGCTAGATCTTCTTGTTGGATAGTCCCCTTCTTCATCTCTTGTTACAGTCTTTGTTTTAAAGTCTAATTCTTTATGTATTGCTCCTCCAGATTTTTTTTTTTAATCCATTCTCATGGTAAATGTTTCTCCATTCCCTCCCTTTCAATTTGCAGGTGTCTTTAGGTCTAAAATGAGTGTAGGCAGCATATATATGGGTCTTGGTTTTTTATCCATTCTGACACCTTATGTCTTTTGATTGGACTGTTTAGTCCATTCACATTCAGAGTTATTACTGATAGAGATGTTTTTATGGCCATTTTATTACATCTTTTGTCAATTTTTTTCTGGATATTTTCTCTGATCATTTATTTTCTTGTCACCTTTGTTCTTTTCTTCCCACCCAAAAGGTCCCCTTTAATATTTCTTGCAGGGCTGGTTTAGTGGTTACAGTCTTCTTTAGTTATTATTTGTCTGAGAACTCTTTATCTCTCCTTCTATTCTGAATGATAATATTGCTGTATAGAGTATTCTTGGCTGCAGATTTTTTTTTTTCCATTCAGCACTTTGAATATATCATGCCCTTCTGGCTTGCCAACTTTCTGTGGAGAGATCTGTAGCTTAGATAGCTCTTCCCTTTTAAATTTTATTTTATTTTATTTATTTTATTTTTTTAAGATTTTATTTATTTATTTGAGAGAGAGAGAGTGAGAGAGAGCATGAGAGGGGAGAGGGTCAGAGGGAGAAGCAGACTCCCCACTGAGTGGGGAGCCTGATGTGGGACTCGATCCTGGGACTCCAGGATCATGACCTGAGCCGAAGGCAGTCGCTTAACCAACTGAGCCACCCAGGCGCCCCATATAGCTCTTCCCTTTTAAGTTAGGGACTTCCTTTGTCTTTCTGCTGTTAGGACTTTTTTCTGTATCACTATATTTTTCAAATTTAATTACAATGTGTTTTGGTATTGGCCTACTTTTGTTTATTTTAATGGAAGTTCTCTGTGCTTCTTGGATTTGGCTGTCTGTCTCCTTCCCCAGATTAGGGAAGTTTTCAGCTATAATTTCCTCAAATAAATTTTCTGCCCTCTTTCCTCTCTCTTCTTCTTCTTCTTCTTCTGGGGCTCCTATGTTATAAATGTTATTATGTTTGATGGCATCACTGACTGTAAGTCTATTCTCTCTTTTTTTTAAAGATTTTATTTATTTATTCATGAGAGACAGAGAGAGAGAGGCAGAGGGAGAAGCAGGTTCCCAAGGAGCAGGGAGCCCGATGCGGGACTCGATCCCAGGACCCTGGGATCATGACCTGAGCTGAAGGCAGACGCTTAACCATCTGAGCCACCTAGGCGCCCCTGTAAGTCTATTCTCATGTTCCATAATTCTTCTTTCTCTCTTTTGTTTAGCTTCATTATTTTCCATTATTTTATCTTCAATATCACTCATTTGTTCCTTTGCTGCTTCTATCCTTATGTTCATTACATACAGTCTGTTTTTCATTCCATTCATTTCATTATTTTGTGTTTTTCATTTCTGACTGATTCTTTGTTAACTCTTTTATCTCTGCATTAAGGGTCCCCTAAAGTCTTCCATTCTTTTCTCAAATCCAGTGAGTATCCTTGCCATTGTTGCTTTAAATTTTCCATCAGGCATGTCACTTACATCGGTTTTGATTATATCTCTGGCCATGACCCTATCTTGTTTCATTTGGGATGAATTCCCCCATCTTGGCATTTTGTCTAAGTCACTATCTTCCGTGTGTTAGAAAATCCTGTTATGTTCCCTATTCCTGAGACAAATGGCTTTATAAAGAAGAGGTCATATAGTGTCCAGGGCCTGACACTTCAGGGAGTGTCTCTGATGTGTGTTGTGTGCACTCTGCTGCTGTGTTTTGGCTGCTCTATTCTTCAGGCCAGTCCTCTACAGAGGCTCTCCTTGCCTGCATATGACAGCATTTGGACCTTGGCCAGAATGTGGTGAGTTTTATCTAGATGTACACTGGTCCACTTGTTAAATGAGACCTGATGCTTCTTCCACCAGAACTGAAGCTTTGCAAAAATCTCTGTTTGGGATACGTGGTGTCGGTGGGGATTTCTGCTGGTCTGGGGAAGGGGCCCACTCCACTGGGAGTTAGTCAAGTTTGACCAAGAAGGGCAGTACTGGTAGAGTGCATATTTGTGGGACTTAGTGTAAGCAGGTTAGGCAGCCAGTGTCAGTGCTGTGCAATGTGCAGATACTAGTGCAGGTGGTTCTGTGCTTATGTTGAGGGGTGGGGTAAGGCAATGGCAACAGTCAGTTCCTTTGTCCCAGCAGGGGAGTTTCCTTGCTTGCTGCTTTCAGGAAATCACTTCCAGAAGAGCAAATAATCTCCCCCTGTGCATCCCAGGTGTTTTTCAGATCACCATTTTCATGCTGTCTCTGGGTTGTTGTCCTGCCTTCTCTCTAGGAGCAGCTCAGTGCCTTCCAGGCTCTATTCCTGCCAAGCCTGCTGACTTTTAAAACTCCAAACTTTAGGAACATGGCGTGTGGGTGGGGGCCTTCACTGGTCTTCTTGGGAGGGTCTTGCTGTGCTGGGACTGATGCAGGTTTATCCAAAACAGGTAGTTGCACCAAAGCACAGGGGCATGGGACTTGGAGCAAGCAGGCTAAGCAGTGTATGTTGGACCAAATTGCCCCTGGCAGGTGGCTCTGTGCCTATATGAAGGGACAAGGGAGTGATATGGCACCCGGTGGCTCTTTTGTCCCCAAAGAGGCATCTTTGTGAAGACCACCTCTCACAGATGTGCTCCAAGAAGAGCAAATAATCTTTCCCCTGCATGCCTGAGGTGCCTGCTGACCTTTAAAACTCCACTCTCCAAGCCCTGTTTGTTGCAAAAACACATGAAAATCAGCCCCTCTCTTTTTTCCAGCCAATGGCTTTGGGGGACGTGTTCTCCTTTTGCATTACCCTGTGTGCTCCACTCTCATGTGCCTTTCTCTGTGACCAGGGCTCCTTCCCCTCTGCAGAATACATGATCCATATCTCCCCCAAACTGTATCTCTGTACTTCTTGCCTTCTTCAATGAGGCCTCTTCTCCCCCTCTATTTGTGGAATTTGTCCTGTCTATCCTCAGGCTGATCTCTTAGGTATTCAGAATGATCCAACAATTATCTGGTTTTGGTCAAGGGACAAGAGGAGACTTGGGTCCTCCTACTATGCTACCATCCTAGCTGTCCTCATAGGTACCCTTTGCTATACATTTCTGGCATATTTTAAGAACTCCTATTAACACATAAGACACTGCATTACAATTACAAGTTTACTTGTCTCTCTATCATAATCACTTCTTTTTAAAAGTAGGAACATGTGTTATTTTCCACTACATCCATAACTTCTAAAATTGTCTCTGGGACACCTGGGTGGCTCAGTCGGTTGAGTGTCTGCCTTTGGCTCAGGTCATGATCCCAGGGTTCTGGGATTGAGCCCCACACCAGGCTCCCTGCTCAGCGGGGAGTCTGCTTCTCCCTCTGCCCCTCTTCCTGTTCCTTCTCTCTCTCTCTAACTCTCTCTCTCTCAAATAAATAAATAAAATCTTAAAAAAAATAAAATGAAATTGTGTCTTCACCAACTAGGCTGCCAGTAAGCATTTATTCAATGAATAAATGAATGGAAGACAATGTGGTCAAGATTATGTCCACCCTACATTTTAGTATTAAAAATTTAGTATATGACCAGGGTTAAAATTTAGTCTATAATAAGAAGGCAATAACCTTATCAATGACTGAGCTTAAGGATCAGTTTGTGGTGTGGGACAGGTCACTCTCTAGCCATGATTAGAAACTCAGACTATAGCCAAGGTTAATTTCAGATCTAGAGAGAGTTAGAAGCTTAATCTGTATTCAGGGTAAAGTCCAGTACAAGGCTCCATGTGTGGCCAGTATTAAGGATGTCTGGTCAAACTAAAGACCTAAGATATGTACCCTGTTCTGAGATTGAAAATGAGTATTTCATAGAGACCTATTCAGGCTGTGACTTTGTCCTGGTTAATATTCTTATTTAAGTTCTCAAAGAGCAATTAAAAAAAAAAAAAAAAGAAAGGAGCAAGCCATGGAGCTGAAGCCAAAGTGCTACACAACTTCGTCCCTTCAACTATGTGTTCCCACTTACCAGGTGCAGCAGCCAGTGGCCAACCAGTGCTTGATTCTAGCACTCCATGGGCATGCACAGAGTAGGGGCGGCTGGCATTATTCTTGAACACCACAGTTAGGATATCACCAACCTCTCCTCTGAGAAGTGGACCTAATATATGCAAAAGAAGGGGAAGTCTCATTAGTGGAGTAGTGGAACAAGGATACTAAAGGCATTGAAGAAAAGGACATACACACGAGCTCCCTAGAATTAGGGGTTTCAGTCATTAAAATTAAAATCATGACTAGTTCCATTTTTTTTTTAAATTCAGAAGCCCATAAACTGATACTGGCACCTACAGGATGGGGATACTTCAACAAGAAGATTGTACCTCCAATTATCCCTATTTTCCCACACCAAATCCCTATCATATATCTATTTATCTATCTATCATCTGTCTATCTATCTATCTATCATCATCTATCTACCTATCATCTATCTATCATCTATCTATCTATCTATCTATCTATCTATCTATCTATCTATCTGTCATCTATCATCTATCTATATCTAGTATCACACGGATCTAGATAATTAAGGCTCTGTGGAATCACTGTCAGTAAGGACTGAGAGTTTGGCACGGAGTTAAAAAAACCAACAAAAAAACAAAACAAAAAACAAAAAAAACTGATGGGCCCCTGGAAGGGCCAATGGGTTTCTTCTGTGTGAGGACAAGAATGAGGAAACTCACTGGCCCCTACAAAAGTGAAGAAACTGCATCAATAATTAAACTGGGGTGCAAGGGTAATACTTATTCCCTGTACAGTGTTCTTCTTACTCTTTGATGTTCTTAAGTTCCCTGCCTTTAGTATTTTTAAAAAATCTCTCACTGTCAGAGATCCCTAGAGAGATTTCTGGAAAAATATGGCTCATGTTGCAGCAGAATTCATAAGTCTCCCCACTTTGATTGCTTATTTTTATGGCCAATTTTTAATTTATGACTATAATTCCATTATATCATAAGGAAAAACTAATAGAAAGAAATGAAGAAGACTTCCTGATATGACATAACCTTCCTAGGAGCAGCATAAACGTCTAGACCTTAGGAGGAACTCACTTACCTAATATTCCCAAGTGTTCCTCTGGTCCAGTCCTTGGCCGAGGGATCTTGAATGTACCATCAATGTATTCTCTGAATACAGCTTTCTTGTATCTGGAACCCAGGAGCCCATTCTGGTTGCTCAGGAAGATGTGACCATAACTAGAGGAATCCAAAGAGTGGTATCAGCACCTGGCCTTGACCCCTCATTTTCAGGTATGACAAAGCTAAGTCAGACCCAACATCATATCACAGATAGAAGAAAGAGAAGACATGTTGCTTCTAATGTCAGATTTTCCACATTGGCTGTATAACTGCAATAAAAATGCCAGATTTAAATATCTATTTATGTCCTTGTTTATCATAATCCAGATTGTAATTTGTAAAATAATTACAATGACAAGAACACTGGAAGAAGAATCAGAAACTCTGGCTTTAGCTCTATTCTTAGTGTTGTCTCAGATGGGATTATTTTGACAAAAGGACAAGGTACAGGGTGGAAGGAGAGCACTAACTGCTGCTGCTGATGGAGAGCAAGTAATAGGAAGAGGTAAGGAGGAAATGGAATTTTACAGATTCCCCCTTATGGGATGCTTTCCTGTTTACAAAGAACCGTATTATTTGTTTTATCATTTGACATTTCCAATAGGCTAATGAGATAGGTAGAAGGAGAATCAGTGGTCCAGAAGTGACAGAACTTATCTTCATCGATACTGTCAGCCAGAAAGGGAGCTAGCACTTGGATACAACTCTGCTGCTTCTTCCTTATTTCCTTCTAGTCAAGTTTTTTCAACTATACCACATCACTTTATTTATTTTTTATTTAAATTCAATTAGCCAACATATAGTACATCCTTAGTTTCAGATGTAGAGTTCAATAATTCATCATATACCACATCACTTTAATGATGAACAAACTAAGTCCCAGGGAAGAAAATTCACTTTCTCTAGGTTTCAGAAGAAGTTAGCAAGAAGACTTCAACATTCAACAACCAACATAAAAGACAGGAATTGCTAAAGAGTTGTGAGAATACCAAAAATAAATTGTAGTGGAAATTGCTAAACTGTACTTCAGTTTCCATTCTCCTCCCCTTCCTTTTTAGTAATAGAATCACCTATATTTTAGCTGAGTACATGACCACATAACCATGTAATATAGATTATATTTTCCAGGCTTTATTTTTTAGTATGGTTGACATACAATGCTACATTAGCTTCATATGTACAACACAATGATTTGATAAATGTATACATTTGTGCTATGTTCACCACAAGTGTAGCTACCATCTGCCCCAATACATCTTTATTACAAAATCATTGACTACATTCCTTATGCTGTGCCTTATTTCCATGACTTATTTATTGCATAACTGGAAGCTTGTATATCCCACTCTACTTCATTCATTTTGCCCCACCCACTAACCTCTCCAAGTCCTAGACTTTCTTGCAGCTAGGTACGGCCACATTAATAAGTTTAGGATGATGGGTTATGAAAGAAAGTGATGTATGTAACTTTTAGGTCATTACCTTACAGATACTACTGCTTTCCCTGGACTGCTCTCCCCTTTCGTGATTGCTGGGAATGACTACAACCAGCATAGGCATCTTAGTTTCCAAGATGAAAGAAAGTATTATGGATGATTAGTTTACCTACAGGCCCTGGGCAGCTCATATTTATACTATTATTTGAGCAAGAAATAAAATTCTAACTCACTCAAACTACTCTATGTTGGATTTTTTCTGCTATACAGCTTAGCCTGTACCTTAGTGACATTTTGTCAAGTGACAGGTAAGCTTGGGGTGTTCAGTCTTTTGAGCAAGACCTCTATAAAATCTAAATTTTGCTGTAGATGCTACCAGCAACCAGAGGAAAAGAGGCAAAGATTAAGAGCATGAAGTTATGGATAAGGTCTTTTACTTCAAACCCACAGTATAGTAATATAGAAGAAGCACTGAGTTCCAGCTTATCTGCATCCTAGCACCTGTTCCAGATTTGCTGGTATCTTATCAGGTTACTTTAGATAAGTGTCTCCTTTTCTCAGTATTTCAGTATCTTCCTCATCTGCAAAATGGTCCAGAGTCTCTGAAAGTGTGATCTCTTATTTTCTGAAACCTTACCTGTCCTTCTCAGACTGGTTGTGCCATTCCAGTTCCCAGCTCCTGTCAGGGCAATAGTCCCACTCCACCTCTTCTGCCATGATGTAGTAGATCCTTGCAGCCTGGTATCGTTGGTGATCATTAGCTTGATGGCCAGGACACTGGGAGACATTATAGACTGCTTTCATCCCTGATTCTCTATGGCTGCCTGCCTGGCAGTAAATTTCAAATATCCCTAAGGAAGGAACAAAGAGCAAAACCTGAATCTGAATATCCTTGTGTAGCACCTGGGGGATTTCCTGCCTCTTTCTAGGCATATTGTAGAGAGTGGGTAGTTTCAGATAAGGTTCTATGCTTTGGATAAAAGATTATTACAAGTTTATTGAGAGCAGTGAGCACAGAGGTTAACAGTTCTGGCTCCAAAGCTACATTGTTTAGGTTTAAAACTAAACTCTGCCATTAGGAAGGCCAACTCCTCCCTGTTAACCCAAGGCTTTCCCAGTTTTATCACTGGAAGTCCCATATCCCTGTGGAAACTGCTCAGTTCTGAGCAAACTGGGATAGTTGGTCACCCTACCTGACAACTTGTTAGCTATATGAACTTGAAGTAATTTTTAAGCCTCTGTATGTTTCAGTTCCCTCATGGTACAATGGGGATCATTTTACTTATTTCACTGGGTTGTTTTAGAATTAAACACAATAATATGTACACATTGCTTAGCATATTGCATAGAAAATTTTAATAAATAAAGTTATAAATAAGTAAATGGATCTGTAATAATTATTATTCCAAAAAATGCATTGACCAGTTTTCTCTCTTTTTTACAAAGTACCAAAGAAATAAAGGTGTGGTTAAATAGATTAAAAAAAAAAAAACCAAAAAAACAACTTCTTGACTATCGGGATGCTTATATCAGAGGGCTTTGGAGTGGCTTTCCTTCAGTTTTTACAATAAAATGTTTGGATATCAGTCTTAAATATCAGGGTTGTGGAGCTGCCTAGAAATGCCTAGAGCCTCGGGTTTCTATGTCAAGGACATTAAGGCTCATAGAATGTTGATCAGGAGAAGTTGACTTTCTTAGAACATTTATTTTCATCATTCCTTCACTTGCTGCCCACTGCCTATACCATCACTACAAACTCTTTTTTCCTGGCTTGTAAAGGCCTCTGTGAACTAGCTTCAAACTATGACTCAGTTCCAAATGCAACCAGTGATCCAACTAAATTTGTCCCAGACATCCCTTATCACATATCTCATTTATATATTGGAATTTTCACTCATGTTGTTGCTCCTTTCCTGGAATGTACCTGTCCAACCCTCCCACAAATATCTACAGAGCTCACTCATTCTCCAAGATCAAATTCCAGAAATCTCTCCATGACTATTCTGGCTCACACTGACCTCTACATTCTTGGCCTCCCTACTCTTAACACACTTTACACCTAAACCACATGATTAAAGACTAAGTACTCCTCTCTTTACAAAACAGTCTTTTCCACTAGTTTATAGACTTCTTGAAAGAATCTACTCTTTTCTTTCCACAACTACTTCCCAACTCTTCTATATCTCCTACCCTTCCACATCTATTCCATCAGTAAATCCTATTGGATTTTCCTTCCAAATTATCCTCCCATTTTCACTCTCCCTCCGCCAGTCAAAACCACCGTCGTCTCTCACATGGAAAACTTCAACAGTCTCCTAACTGTCTTCTCTGCTTCTTCCCCTTCCCTTTTCAACCATTTCCCACACAGGATTCAAGGCCCTCTTTAAAAAATATGATCCAGAGCACATTGTTCCTTTGTTTCAAATGCTTCATTCATACTCAGAATGCAAACCAAGCTCCTAACTATGGTCTATAAGACCCCACATATGAATCTTGCCAACCTCATTTTATGTCGATCTTTTTCTTAGCTTACTACAATCCAACACTACTGATCTTTCACTCTGACCCTTGAAAAGCCATGCTTGCTCCCACCTTTGGACATTTGTGCTTGTTGGTCCCTCTGTTTGAAATGTTCTCCTCAGAAATCTTTACATCGCTCCTTCCTCCTCATTATTTAGGTCTCAGTGTAAATATCACATTCCCTGAACATCCTCTCTAAAGTAATGCCCCTATCATTTTATCACAACACTACATTTTATTTCCTTCATGATCTAAATCACAATCTAAAATTATCTTACTGTTTTATGTATGTGTTTTGATGTTTTTAATGTGGATCTTCCCAGAGAGTAAGAATCATTCTATTTTTTTCACCTTTCTTCCCCAGTTTTAGCACATTGAAGGTGCGCAATAAATATGTTTTGAGTGAATGAATGTGTGTGCAAATGAGTGGTTGTAAAAGCTGCCCAAAACTCATAGCTCAGGGATTGATGTGGAGAAGAAAATCTGATGATCACTGAATGGGATGAGAACAAAAAAGGCGGCATTCTGGGAAGTCATGTGCCTTTGGACTAGTTAGTACATCATCTAAATTTTCTCGTATGGATATTATTATCCAAGCTACTCTTTCGGTACTCTTCTGTTTTTGAAATCTGAGTTTCCTCCCAGCTCTTTGACAAATTCTTTTCTGTTTCCTTATTTTGGCTTCTCTTCTCCCTTGTACCTTTTAAATGTTGATTTCTGCTTTAAGTTTTCTTTCCTATCACTTTACAACTTATGGACTTGAACTATGAGAACACTCAAACTCACTAACCTGGACTTCTTCTCCAACCTTTACATTTCTACCCGTAACTACCTACTGTAAAATCCACATCACCTGGATTTCACCAGGAACTTAAAACTTGACATGCCCTAAAATGAATACTTTCTACCCAAACCTTACTATCCTGCCCTTGTTTCTGTACTTGCTCATTTAGTTAATGGTTGTCACCATATATATAGTGCACAAGCCGGAAACTTCAGGCATCTTTTCTTCTTGCTCAGCCCCTCAGCAAAGTTCCATAATTTCTTTCTCAAATATCCCTTAACTCTACCCCTTCTGCCCATCCTTATTGCTTCCACCCATTGGCAGGCTCTTATCACCTCTTGCAGTAGCCTCCTTCTTTGCCTCCTCTTAAGGCTTATTTCTCATTATTCCTTCACAGGGCTGCTATTAGCATTTTGCGTGGGATTATTCTTCACTGTTTAAGACTGCCCTACATATTGATGAAAGTTTTATCATTTCTGGCTCCCACTATCTAAATAATATCATCCCCTCCATATCCCCAGTCATTGTGACAACTAAAATGACCTCCACACATTTCAAACACCTTTTAGTATATACCACCTTGAGTTGAGGGTCACTGAATAAAATCAGTTTGTGTAACTTCTTCAGGCAGATGCTGCTTCCAAGTCACTGTCCATAGTTTCCTACTGCTTATAACAACACCCTCTTCACCAACCATCCCCTTTCTGTGCGTGGTGACAGTTTACTCTTCCTCAGATGATCAGTTTAAATGCCTGCTTCTCTAGGGAAGCTTTACTACACAAGTCAGGCAGAATTTGTTATAGTTTCCTGTGTGTTACTATAGCTCTTGGCAAGATTGTATCATCATCTCCCTTTCACACTAACTGTGAGATGCCTAATTCATCCTCACATCCCTAGTATCTAGACCAGTAAGTGGAAGACAACAGATATTTACTATGTTTTGTGAAAATGTTATTGTAAAATAAAGGGAAAATAAAAAGAAGTAAGGAATAAAAAATAAGGAAAAATAGAGGAAGACAGAGGAGGAAAGAAAACATACAGATTGAAGGAAAAGGGAAAAAAGAAAACAGGAGATAAGGAAAAGGAAAATAAATTTAAAAAGAGAGAAAGGGAGACAAAGAAAGAGAAATAAAGAAAGGAGGGAAATGGAGAGAAGGGAAGCCAAAAAAGAGGGAAAAATCAAAGGAAGAAAAAAAGGGAAAAAGGAGAAAAGAAAGGGGAGGGAAGGAAAAAGAAAAAAAGGGAGAGAAGAATGAATGGAAGAAGAAAATGAAAAGAAGAAAAGACAAAAAGTAAGATGGAGAAAAAATAGATGGAAGTAAAGGAAGGAAACAATGAATGAGAAGAGGAATAAGAAATGAGAGATAAAAAGAGATAAGAAAAAGATGATGAAAGAGGAAGAGGAAAAATGAGAGAGGGCAGGAAAAAGGAGCAGTGGAAAGAAAAGAAGATTAAAAAGGGGGTGGGGAAGAGGGGAATAATGAATAAAGAAAGTTCCAATGGTGAAAGAAAGGAAAGACACCCTGAAGGACTAGGGCAATTATAAATAATAAATTCTTCTCTTTGCTGTTGAGAACTCTAACATGAATTTGGTGGAAAATAACACATTACAAGCCCTAGCTTTTTATCTGCCAATTTTCCTATCTATTAAAGTTCTAGTATCATTAGTTTTATTGGAAGAGCTGAGGTATGTAAGATAATATTTTTAAATACAATTGTTAATTTCTATTAAATGTAATATAAACTTATTAAAATTTAAAGCAAAGCAAAAAGAGGATAAAAAATCACTAATAAACCCACAGGAATCAAACATTCTTAACACTTTGCTGCATTTTTTCTGGGTATTTGTTTTTCTAGTTTGCTAAACATAACTGTAAGCATCCAGTATACAAAATGTTGAATATTCATCGTGGTGTTTTTAAGTCATCTGCAAAGCTGCTTAATTACATATGTGTATTTACCAAAGTAACTGTTACATGATAAAATGTCAGACATAGATGGAATCTAAAGAAATGTTCTACTCAATTTTGGTTTTTCATGAAAGAAAGATAGGGAAATGAGGGAAAGGGAGAGAGAAAGAGGAAGAATGGGAGAGGGAGAGAGGGTGGGGGAGAGAGGCAGGGAGAGAAATGAAAGAAAGGAGGGAGGAAAGGGGAAAGTAGGAAAGGAAGGTGAGGGAGGGAGGTAGGGGAGTGGGACAGAGAAAGAAAAGAAGGAGGAAATGCAGCCACAGAGTGGGGGTTGGTTAGAACAAAATTAAATAGCAAATTAATGAAAGTGCTTGGACTAAAAGTTTTTATGCTCTGATTCCAGGGCTGAAACTGTCACAGCACACTGCACCCCACTCCCACCAGAAGTTGGTAGAAATTCTCACAGAATATCAGAGTTTAAAGCACTTATAGGTATATCTCCTGGACCTCCCTCCCAGTGCAAGGACTGTATCTATAAAATTTCTACATAGCCATGGGACTACACAGGGAAGTCCACCCTCTACCTATATGAGAATTGCCCTGATGCTGGGCAACATCACTACTTCTTCCCCATTGT